CAAAGGCATATAATGCATTTTGAGTCGACTTTTAACCTATCTTTGCGGAATTTTACGCAAATGTATATTATGTCTGCAGGACTTTTGGTATCGAAGATGGGTGATGTAGATCCACGTTTTGGTATAGCTTCCATATAACGGTACCTCCCGATATTCGGTATTTTAATTATTTTAGCGGCACTATTCACCGGAATTGTTTCAAATTTGGCATTTGAAGTTTTTAATGAATATTACAGCCTATTACAGAAAATTGTATGTGCAGGCCCACGTCTTCTTATAGCCCTATATTTGGTATTTTGATGATTTTAGCGACATAATTCATCGAAATTGTTTCAAATTTGGTATTTGAAGTTCGTAATGGATACTTCAGCCTTAGGCAGAAAATTGTCTGTGCAGTTCCACATTTTGGTATAGCCCCCATGTAATAGTACCTCCTGATTTAGCGACATTATTCACCGATTTTTTCTAAGTTTCGCATTGTCGAATTTACAGCATTTTCCTTCAGATTTAAAGTTCTAAATGATGACTCTAAATATCAAATTTAGTTAACTCGAAAAAACTGCTTTTTAAGTTTTTAAATTTTACCTCCACAAGGCCGTTGTGAAGTGCTGCAAATAGTCAGAATATGTCCAAAGTCGAAGCATTCCTCCTTAGTTAAAATATTTCTATAATAAACCCAGAGAATTAAATTTTTCCACTCCATTGCATATACGTCAAATAAATTAACATAAAGGAGATTAGCTCTGCAAAAAGCTCTAATGTAAACACACTATTAATCAATTTGCATTCACAAACCTTTCCATAAATGAGTTATTTCAAATTAGACTTCCAAATATCTTCCGAAAAACGTATTTCTGTAAAAATTGTTTCATAATTTACAAAGCTGTCTTTCGATTTTTATCTGCGGTGATATTTATCGCATAATTATTACTGACTTGACTTCCTGCACAACACTTTGATAGAAAATATCATTAGTCCTTTCGAACAGGAATTATAAATTCCTTTATAATTATAATTTATGCTGGGAAAGTATCACTGGCACTTGACTTGGTCATCCCTGTGCGGCAGGAGCACACACATGCACACTTACACACCTCAATACACACACACTCACACACAGTCAATCAACTTCTCAAGTTGTGTACAAAATTGTGGTTTTGGTTTCAGGTTTATGTGTCACGTTGCTTTTTACCACATTTCCTACGATTTTTCTTTGTCCTAAGCTTCTTTCTGTAGAAACACCCCACCTCGTACCAGACTATCATTTCCCTTTCCGTTGCTTTCACTTTACCGGGGTTTCTTTTGCTCAGCGTTACGTTTCGTTTTGAATGTTGTGTTGTTGTTGTTTTGTTTTGCATTAGAATACAATTGGGACAAATGGCATTGTTTGTGTGCAAACACAGGCACACGCAAAAACACACACACGGAGTCATACACCTACCGTCCGTCACCTGTACCCCAGGGTACTTTGTTTTTTAGTTGTTCGGGGTGTTGTTTTTTTTTCCTCCTTCGCTTATTTTCGCCCCCAAAGGAGTTGCTGCTGTGCCAAGCGCCTGGAGGAAAAGGCGACAAATTTTTGTTTTGGTTGAAGGAAGTCAAAGGTGTTACGGCGATGATGAGGGGTGTTGACTTGTAATGCGGTGGTTATTTCAACGAATTGTCACCTACAGTGGGTCAGATTATTGTTATTTAAATGAAGAAAAACAAAAACAAATTGTCTGAACAAATTGTGAATCGTGTGAAAGTCGGTGGGAATATTATGATGCGGGAAACCGTAAAGATTCTGAGGGATTATTCTCATGTCGATGATTGTTGCATAAACTTGTAAATAGAGCGGGCTTAGTACATAAACTAAAAAGGGGACGCATTAAAATATGAAGGCAAACGTACATAAGTTGTTATAGATATTAATACATTTTTATACAATTCGTCCTACTATAAAAAAATATAAACTTATAATCGTATGTTTGTATACCCTACAACACTATGTGTTGGGGGTATTATAAGTTTGATTGGGCCAGAATTTATGTAACACCTCGAAATATTTATTTCCCATATAGGAAAGTATATATGGATTTTCCTAGCTCGCCGAGCTGAGTCGATCTAGCTATGTATGTCCGTCCGTCCGTCTGTCCATGTTAATTTGTAATCACGCTACAGGTCGCAATTATGGCCCGATCCTTACGAAATTTTGCACGAAGGTGGGGTTAGGGTCAGAATAGAAGCCTATTTCTTTTGGAGATGATCGCCAAACGTTTAGGGGTTGAAATGGACCAAATACTGAAAAAATGTCGGATTTTGCAGTAGCTATACAGGTCGCAATTATAGACCAATCGACGCGGAATTTCGCATGTAGCTAGAGTTTAGGGCGGGGAAGAAGCCTACCAATTTAGCTGGTCATCGAATAATATTTAGCGGGTAAAATATACCATATCTTTTGTGTTGAAAAAATTCAAAATTTTTCATTAAACCGTAAATATTTTAAATCCCGGCGAAATCACAAAGTCATGACAAGGTTACTTCTGACCTTTACATTGATGTTAATATCCAACAAAACGGATATATAGCAAAATATGTGCGATATATATGTCTATCAAAGAAGATATGCTTGAAAGATCTCTTATATGTCGAGAACGGCTGAACTGATTTCGACATTTCTCATTAATTCAGAATGGCCTCTTGGCAGGAAATAAAAAACGTCTAAAAAAATCGCATAAAAATATCTCTCTATAGATGAAAATATTGGTTTTGTAACATTTTCTCATATTTCATCCATTTTGTCATATTTTTGGCATATTTTCATTTTGAATTAAACATTTGGTAATATTGCTACAGCTAACAAAACTAAGTAGTTAGGATATCAGGATATCATATGCAGATCGCATTTATGGCCCGATCCTTACGAAATTTTGCATGGGGATAATATGAGGGTCAGAATAGATGCCTTCTCTTTTTGGAGATGATGGCTATATATTTAGGGGTTGAAATGGACCAAAAAACTGCAAAATTGTCAGCAGGTCGTAATTATCGCCCGATCCTCATGCACATTTGAATGGGGGTTACCGCACATTGCAAAAGCCAAGCAGTTTTGGATGGCCATCCAAAAATATTCAATGTGTGGAATAGTTTGCCAACTTTTGTCGACTAAATGCGAAAGTGTCCATTCCTGCGACTTTTTGGAGAATTCACAAATACAGAAAAGACGCACTTCTGACTATTTCGTTGAAGAATATAGTCAAATATCTGTATCTCATATAGATGCGTTTCAGTAAAAAACCAATAATAAATATTAATCTTTTGCCACTTCTAGGAAGACCATTTACGTGCAACATCTACCAATAAATTGGAAATGAGCAAATTCGTTTAAGTTGCTATTATTCGAAAATTAGAGAACGAAACATGATGGTTTTCTTTTATTATTTGTCACAATATCTTGTGGAGTTCTTTCGAGTATCTCGCCTATATAAACTGTATGGTTTATTATAGCATTGTAGGGTATTCAACGGTCGGCCCCGCTCGACTGTAGCCTTTGCTTACTTGTTTTAAAGTATAAGTGGATATTGGCACTTTATTTCAAATTCATAAAGAAGGGTAAAAGACAAGTTCGAAATTGAACTATGTTGGCCCAAGTTTTTCGTTTATAGAGTGCGTAATGAGTTCTCCCTCCTGTTCCAGAACATAGTCTACGTAGCTTAACATTGTTCTCCCACACATATAATGGTACCTCAGGATATTCATGCATTTTTGTGAACAAAATGCAGGTCGCATTTAGTATCCGGTTGAGGTGAAATTTTCGAAACAACATTTTTTGGACCAAGGACGTTCGTCCTATTGAATTTATGAGAATCGGTTTAATCAATATATTTTTAATTGATTTCGGGTTAATTGTGCACCAAATGGCCAATACCACTCCAAATGACCTGAATTTTGGCACACGCGACCGAATTCAGTCTGGAAGCAAGTACATTAAATTTGGTAAAAAAATGTTCAGATCCGTGAAAAATTTGGCAAAAATCATTAAAATACAGAATACCGGGTGGTATCGTTATATAGGAGCAATACGAAAACGCGGACCGGTACATCCTATTCAATATCAACCATCCCGGACACTGTGTCAAATAATGACGGTTGTGTGTCATTCGATTTAGTGTTTAGGTCCCTCACATGTGCAATATGTACTACACAAGAATGATATATGGTACCAGATATCAGATACAGCTCAGAAATAAGTGTTTCAAATTTTGCCAAGATCGGTTCAGATTTGAATATATACATTTATTCGATTTCAGGCTTATTGTGCACCAAATGGCTTATATTAGCCCATATGAACCGAATTTTGGCAATTCCGACCGAATTCAGTTTGGAAACAAGTTCATTAAATGAAAATCGGTTCAGATATAGCTATAGCTGCCATATGTATGTTGGAATCTTAAGTCCCTGACATTCGTAATATGCACACCATAAGCAGCGATGCCAACTTAGTGCTTTTCGCGCTATTTATGGTGCTTTTTAGAACCTCCAAAACGCCAAAATAGTGGTCATAGCGCGAAACGAAAAAAAAGCACTGTACGTACGCTTTTCATCTTTTCTGTTGGTGCTTTTAGCGGGTTTTAGATTTTAAAATGTGGCAATGTTCATACATTCGAATATTTTGATAGTATGGCATCTACTTATCGCAAGTTCTTTACTGCAAATTCTTAAAGTGTCTTTCATTCTTGTCAGTTCTTTTGTATACACTCCATGATAGAAGAATATAGGTAGACTCGTCGACACAGCTGCTGGGACAATGAACTGTCAAACTACTTTTGGAATTGAAATTGTTGAATGAAAAATTATTTAAATTTGTAAAAATAGTTGAAAAACGCAAATAATAATAGCCTCCGAATGACGTAGTATAAGAAAACATATAAAAATCTACTTATATTTGAAAAAACATTTAAATTTTTTGACATATCAATGCTCCCAAGCGTTGATGCATCTACCTGTATTCTTCTGCCATGATACACTCTTACACTTTTTCAATAAAGCAAAATAAAACGAATTTTGTATGTTAAAAACCAATTGAAGGAAAAGTAAAATGAACGAGAAAAAAAACGTAAGTTCATACAGGGCTGCTTTGTGGTACGAGTTTACAGAATAAACGTAAATGTTTACATTGATTCCTACAGGTGGATAAACATTTGCAAAAATATAGAACGGCTTGGGAGAAAGACCCTATATTTATGAAATGGCTGCGCCCTACAAAGGATACGACAAAAGCTGCTTGCCTATACTGCAGGACAGAAATTCTGGCACGGTATAACGATTTGGTAAGACACTCCCGTACCAAGAAGCACACGAAACTATTGCAACCTTTTGGTGGAGTGAATGTAAAGCAGACGGAAATATCGTTTATTCCAAAAGAAGCAAGTGAGATGCAAAAGGCTCAAGGAAGACGTTCCCTTTATGTTGCTGTACATTCGTCATTTCTGGCCGTGAATCATTTGGCAGAAGTTTGCAAATTGGAGTTCGCTGACAGCAAAGCAGCAAACTTTTCGCTGCATCGCACGCATGTGCAAATATAGTTAATAATATCCTGGCTCCCCATTTTATCGATAATTTATTACGTGATATAAAGGATGTTTCATATAGCCTAATTTTGGATGAAGGGACCGATATTTCTACAGAAAAACTGTTGGGCGTCATTATACGCTATTACAGTTATGCCAGAAAACAGTTCGTGACAACATTTCTTGGTCTGATTGATTTAGCTGCAGGAAATGCAGATTCAATATTGGAAGGTCTGGAGCGCCTAATGAATAAATTTAACATTAATTTGGAAAAACTGATTGCAATTGGTACCGACAATGCGTCAAACATGACGGGAGTGCACAATGGTTTGTACCAAAAACTTAAAAACAAATATGGTTTAGAAAATTTAGTATTGGTTCGTTGTGTGTGTCATTCCCTACAATTAGCTGTATGCGCCGCAACAGGCGAACATTTACCAAACAATTTGGAATTTTTAATCAGCGAAACTTATAATGGTTTTGCAGTTCTTCAGTGCGTCAAAACGCGTATGCCAAAATTTTTAAGCTACTTAATAGCGACGCACTAGATCCGTATAAAATACCAAGAGTTTCTGACACTAGATGGATGTCCATCGAAAAGGCTGTCAAGCGTATATTAGGTATGTGGTTGGAACTAAAAACTCATTTTAATGTTATCCATGACAAGCAAAAGGAGTATGTTTTGACATTACTAAGAAATATGTACAACGATCAGAAAAATTTTATTTATCTAACATATTTAAGTTCAATATTGGGTGAAGTTCAAAGAGTAAATTTGGCCTTTGAAGCAGACAACGCAGATCAAGTAAAATTACATTGTGACCTGTATCGTTTACTTAAAAGTTTAACCAACAAAATTATTATAGAGTCAGAAAGTTTTAATTATTTCGAAGATCCTATTGAAAATTCTTTAGACGAATTTTGCTACCTTGGGCATAGTTTTGAAAAAGCGTGTAAGGATTCGTTGATTTCAGAAGACGAAAAGAAAACAATTAAAGAAAAATGTATTGTTACGTTCTTGGATTTTACTTAATCCCGTGTAGACGTTGTTTTATTTCCCAATACAGCTCGTACCAAATAAAACGCGGGTTCTTTCGGATTACGATTATTACAATGATTTTATTCACACAACTTTACTTTGCACTTTACTTTACTCGACGGTTTCAATTCGCGATCTGATTCACAACTGACTAACTGCCTTTCCATTTCCCCTATTTATATGAGCCTCGCCTGTCGCTACAGAAGTTTCTAGACGATCTGGTAACGCCTAGATTACGAACAATCTACCAATGCAACGAACACATACAAACTTACATTGAGTGAACAATAACAACAACACATACAAACTTACATTGAGTGAACAATAACAACAACACATACACTGGCGAGGGGGTAACAAAGAAAGAGGAATTAAGCGATCATTAATGATGACGTTTAACAAGAATTGTACGTCAGCAACAAAATAGAAAATGAAAGAGGAAATGGAAGGATGTAGAAAAATCTATACAGTAGTTGTTGTTGTGAAGTTATTCAAATAAACTGCGTAGTAGAAATTTACGTTACAATTCAAATTCTTAAATTAACGGAATTCATCTAAATTAACTTAAATCTAAAGTTATATTCGTAACATTGCCCCCCGCTTAAGCCTGTTCGTCCCGAATAGGCACAGTTCCCGTTCCGTAGGGGGTCAGCCGCTCCAAATGTACAACTTTCATCTTCGACCTGGGACTGTCGCTCCTCTGGATGCGATAAACGACGTCATTTATTTTCGTGACAATCTTGTAGGGTCCTTCCCAGTGCGTTTGTAATTTGGGGCATAGTCCTTTCTTTCGTTGTGGGTTGAACAATAGTACCAGTTGCCCTTCTTGAAACCCATCGGTATTTGCCACTCGATCGTACCTTGCCTTCATGCGGTTGCTAACCATTTTTATTCGATGTCGGACTGCATCGTGGACTTTACTAAAAGAGTTTTGACTGTTTTCATCTTGGTTCACATCGTCGTTTGGGGTAGCACCGAATATCAAATCGCCAGGTAGCTTTAATTCATTTCCGAACAGAACTTTGGCTGGGGTCCGGGATGTGGAATCATGAAAGGCCGATCTATAAGCCAGTAAAAACTTGGGAATATGCTCATCCCAGTCTCGTTGGCCACTGTCCACCACTTTCCGTAGATGTTCTTCCAGGGTGCGATTGAATCTTTCCACCATGCCATCTGATTGTGGATGTAGGGGCGTCGTTCTGGTTTTCTTGATTCCGTAGGAGTCACACATTTCCTTGAAGATCGCTGATTCAAAATTCCTCCCTTGATCGGAATGAACCTCAGATGGAACACCATAGCGACAAATCCAATTTTTGCTGAACACATCCACAATTGTCCTGGCTTCTTGATTTGGGATAGCATAAACCTCTGGCCATTTACTGAAGTAATCCATGACCACTAAGACATACCGGTTCCCAGAGTCGCTTGTTGGGAACGGTCCAGCTACATCCATTGCGATTCTTTCAAAAGGGGCTCCTGAATTGTACTGCTGCATGTAGCCTCGACTCTTCCGTGTTGGACCTTTAGCTCTTATGCACCTTTCACAATTGGCGATCCAGTCGGCAATGGATTTTTGACAGCCGACCCAGTAGAATCTCTGCTTTACCTTTTCAGCGGTTTTTGCTATGCCAAGATGTCCTCCACTTGGCCCATCGTGAAACTCCGACAAGACATCTCTTATTTTGGAGTCTGGGACGACGATCAAGTTCCGGTGAGATTTACCGTCCTCACTTTCCCATTTGCGATATAGGCAACCATCTATTATAAGTAGACTGTCCCACTGGGCCCAATAGGATTTTAAAAGAGGGCTTTCGGAGGTAATTTCTTTGCGACTAGGTCGTTTGCCCGTTTCTATGGCCGAAATTACTTTGCCCAGAATGGGATCTCTTCGTTGTTCCGTCGACCAATCTTCACCCGACTCAAATTGCAATAGTCGGACATCAACGATATTCTCTTTATTCTCAGCCTTTGAGCAGTGCTTGCATTCTACTTTGCATGGCCGACGAGACAGGGCATCAGCATTACCGTGTTTTCCGCCTTTTCTGTGCTCGATTCTGAAGTCATAACTCTGGAGCCTCTCGATCCAACGGGCTAGTTGACCTTCCGGATTCTTAAACTGCAGCAACCATTGGAGAGCAGCGTGGTCGGTCCTCAGCAGGAAATGCTGGCCATATAGGTATTTGTGGAAGTGTTTAACGCACTCAAGGACAGCAAGCAGCTCTCTCCTCGTCACACAGTAATTCCTCTCAGGTTTCGACAATGTCCGGCTGTAGTACCCGATGACTTTTTCCTGTCCGTCGATTTCCTGGGAAAGGACGCCACCGATGCCGCACGCACTTGCGTCTGTGTCCAGGACAAACTTGCCGCCAGGTATAGGGTATGCCAAAATGGGGGCTCTGCATAGCATGTCTTTGAGCTTTCTGAATGCCTCCTCCTGGTCGTTGCCCCACTGAAACCTCTGGCCTTTTTGCGTCAAACGGTGTAGACAGGCGGCGATGTTGGCAAAATTTTGGACAAATCGACGGTAGTATGTGCAGAGACCCAGAAAGCTTCGCAGCTCATGGAGATTTCGGGGCTGCGGCCAATCTCTGACGGCTTGAATTTTCTCCTTATCCGTCGATATGCCCTCCGGCGTCACGTGGTGCCCCAGGAACTTCACCTCTCGTTGGAAGAGACTGCACTTCTTTGGGTTCAGCTTGAGGCCTGAAGACGAAAGCTGCTGTAGAACATCCTTTAAGTTCTTGATGTGTTCGTCGAAGTTGCGTCCCATGACTATGATGTCATCCAGGTATATGAGGCACGACTTCCACTGCAGCCCTTTTAACACACGCCCCTTAAGCCTTTCAAATGTAGCCGGGGCGTTGCAGAGTCCGAATGGCATGACATTGAACTGCCAGAGACCCCCATTTACGCCAAACGCTGTTTTCCTCCTTATCTTTCTCGGCGATCTCTACTTGCCAGTACCCACTCTGCAGGTCGAGGGTGGAGAACCATGACGTCACGGCTAATGTGTCCAATGTGTCGTCGATTCTTGGGAGCGGATAGCTGTCTTTCTTGGTGACATCATTCAACTTTCTGTAGTCCACACAAAATCGGGTGCTTCCGTCTTTCTTCTTGACCAAGACCACTGGGGAGCACCATGGACTTGACGATGGTTCTATTACACCACTCTTTTCCATTTCACTTATCAGCTTCTGAACCTCGTCTCTTTTTGCCAGGGGAACACTTCTTGGAGGCTGTTTAATGGGTCTCGCGTCTGCTGTATTGATTTCATGCTTCACCACTGATGTTCTTCCTTGGTGCTCTTTTGTCAACGCAAAGGTAGAGGCATATTTCCATAATAGCTGCTTAGCCTTGTTCCTCTCGGAAGGTGATAACTGGTGTGTCCACTCTTTTATGTAGCCGTCGAGGTGCTTCTTCTCCATGGCAGCTGGCTTTTCGGTGCTAGTTTCCAAATTAACTACAGCTTCAGCTGGTGTGCATTGTCCAACATCGGAAAATTGGCAAATTTGCTCTTGCTTGTTCAAAACTCTAACAGGAATTAATCCGTCCTTGTTGCTTTTCACCAGGGCATTCGCTATTAGGATGTTACTGTTTCTGTTTTCTGCTGGTTCCACCACCCACAACTTCTCGGCTCCACAATCTCCATTCATTGGTACCCATATTATTGCTTCGGCACAGGGCGGTATTATCTCTGGATGGTCCGTGGTCAGACCTCTAATGGGTGTACTTTCATCGTAGCCCACGTTTAACGGAATTTCGACGTTAGACCAGGTCATCACACGTTCTTTCATATCCAGATTGATACCAAAGGCAATCATAAAATCTGCGCCTATTATCACTTCGTCTACGATATCGGCAACTATAAACTCGTAATTCTCCGATTTATTGGCAATAGTTAGTCTCAGGGTAATCTTGCCGTGTACTGCCGCGGGCTCCCCCGTTGCTGTGCGCAGTCTGACTCCATTAAGTTGCGTTATTTTTCCCTTTACCAGATCTGATCTTACGATGGACTTTGATGCGCCAGTATCTAACGTCAGAACTCGCTTATCACCATTGATGTACCCAGTTGTTGTTAGGTTGTGACTTTCCTGTTGTACTATTGCTATGGAGATTGTGGGGCCATCGTCGATGGGAGCCAGTTCATGCCCCGCTGGACTGGCTCGATTTAGTTTAACTGTGACTCATTGGTGGACTGTTGGGCCATTCTTCTACCATCTTTCGTTGGAGGTGGTGACGATGACCTGGATCGTTTGCGCTTAGCTCTGCATTCGCGCGCAATATGACCTGCTTTATCGCAGTTGTAGCATCTAACCCTGGGCTTAGTCATCCCAACTAACTTTGTCTCTTCTATTACCCGCCTCATGGCGTCTTCGATCGAGT